CGATTTGATAGACAACCTATTGATGAGTAGGATCGCCAAAATACTCTATCCACCCATACTATAAATTCGAGGTGTATAATTGTGCACATTATGATTTTTTTTCTTTTTTCTTTTCCAATCGAATTATTTATAGATGTGTCACAAAAAAAGAACGCTTCGTATTAATAATATTCTACAAAAATACCCCCACAAGATGATATATCTACCACCTTTCTATTCACAGACTATCTTCAACAACTATATAATATGGGAAAAATAATAAACGTAGTGGTTTTAACAGGTGAAAAGCAATTATAACTGTGGTGAAAATAAATCTACCAGCCGAAGATTGGCTTGTGAACTTGAGGTGGAACAAGATTCAGATCCTTGCAGTGTTGCTTATCATAGTCTTTTGTTCTTGGTGTTGCTCCTGTGCATAGCCTCAAGAAATCGTTCCCCGTTAGAACATAGTGTGTGAATGCCAATCCTCCATCGATTACCTCGTTTAAGCTTGGAACCGATCTTGATTTTCTCATCCTTCTTCTTCTTCCTCCGTCTCCATCATTTAATATCTTATCGAGATCCGAATACTCCATGAATCTCTGCGTCGCTGCTTCCCAAGAAAGATTGTACATTTGCTCTGTAGTGAGCGGTAACGGCTCTTTAGACATTGCTTCTTTCACTTTGGACACAAAGTCTTCGGGTGTTTTGTAAGTTAGACAGTTTGGGAATGATCTGAAGAACTCGTTTGAGGGATGATCTGCACACACCACGAATTTCCCCATGGCTAGTGCTTCTGCGGTTGCTGTGCATAAAACATCGCTGATGCTCGGGTTTATGAACACTTTGTACCTTCATTAAGACGAGGGAGAAACAATCAAAGAGAGAAACATTTAAAAGAAAAAAATCAAGAGTAAGCCCACATTTTCCACAACTTACCTGTGAAGAGAATCGTCGGCATGGTCCCTTCCTTTGAGGAAATTGAGATTCAAATCGAGTTTCTGTGCTGCACGTTGGACCTCGACTGCATCCTCACCGTTTCCATACACATCTAAATTGAAGCTCCCGAGGTCGCTATTATGTTTAGCCATCAGATCTATTAGTTCTCTGTATCCTTTAGCCCACACCATCTTTCCTAAGAAGTATGCGCCTTTTGAGAAAGCTTGTTCCCCACGGGATCTCTCTTCAGCAATTTTCTCGCCAATCGTAAGGAACTTGGGATTGACACCATGGACATTGCATACAACAGATTTTGGTAAATCTTGCGTTGCCGCAGAGAGACGAAGAACCTTTCATGAGTAGGAAAGTATGTATTAGCTCATGTAAAGGATCCAAGAAACAGAACAAAAGCGTGAAGTGAGATAGTCGAAAATTCACCTTGTCACAATACGCTCGAGTGACCCAATTGTTTACATGGTTCACAAAAAATGCTTGAAGAGCTCCATTCTTCTCCCTCTTGATGTACTCTAAGTAGTTTGTGTGGACAATTCCAACAACATGGTTGAATTTATCAGTCCAACGCTTGCCGTGATGATACCAGTTGAGATGTTCAGGTTCCTCAAGTATAGCAATGTCTGCATCTTTTGACGGTATAAATTGAGAAGTGTCACCAGCGGGAAATATGCTACGCCTTTCCTTTGAAAACTATAACAAACCAGAAAACTCAGTCACTCTCAAGTAACAATAGAGAAAACATATTGGCAATAATAGATACAAAAAATAGTATACAAAATGGTCAACCTACCTTTCCAGGGTAAAAGGAGATTTTAAAATCAGCCTTGAAACCAATCCTCTCCTCCAACCATTTACGTATATAACTCTCTTGTTCTTCAGGTGAACTGAAGGTGAGCTTGTTTGGATAAACTAGTTCTTGATCAGATTCACAAAGCCAAGGAACCAAAAGTGTAACACTCTGCTTTGCAGATTTTGCCAAATAGGCAGCTCGGAATAGCGGATTTACAGCTGTTCCGGTCATCCAAGGGAGACTAGCTGTTGTAACTATTGCCACGTGCCTTTTGCTTTCTGACGTATCAGGCTTCAGAAAATCAGTCCAAAAGCCACCATCATAGTGGTGTCCTGTGCTCTGAAGAACACTGGCTATCCTCATATCCAAATCATCAACATGGTTATCATTTTCGATTAAATCAGATGCTTGTGCAGACGGCAGACGCCAAAGGTGTTGGCTCTTGCATTTGCAAAGGTTTTCTACTATTCGGTTGCACAGATCTGAAAAGCAATTCAGTGGAGCAAAATCAGGGACTTAGTTTCTCATGTAACCACCAAAACTTGAAGATAATGTACAAGAAAAAGTGTTTTATACCATTAACCTACATACCCAGCAAATTTCATGTCTAATCATCCACTTAATGGCAAGTTTCATTTGAGTGATCTGTTCTCACACAAAGCTAGACCTAAAAGTATTTGATATCCAGACAATGTGCAATCAAGTTTAAAGCTTCAAACCCCACCAACTAAGCTGCTGAGGAAGCAAGCAACCTACTAAAAAAAGACCCTCAAATATCAGAGAGAAGATTTGAAATTTTGTTTGGAAAATCACTTCTGGTAGACACCAAATATTCAGAACTCAATACATACTACTAATAAAAAAAATTAATTAGCATGAAGAGAAAATTGCAATACGTGCTTACCCTTTCTTACGCCAATCTGATCAAGAAAAGGTTCGGACTGCCTAACCAAACATGCCAAAAGTTCAGGTACATCCAATGGGGGCACATCCTGCAGGGAAAGTTAAAGGAGGCCAAGTCAAACTCCCAATCTAACACTGAATTTGAATTACTGTCTACCTAAAATATATGGGGGTAACAAGAAAACCCAACAGGTTAACATGTTATTGTAAAGGAAATCAAGAAAACACTTGAGTGATCAATCTCAAATATTAGGGTTGCAAAATCATGATAATGACAGAACCTAATACGTAAAAGAAGAGCCAATGATATATTAGCAGAGTTCCTACTTCAATATACCAACCTTGGCCTCATCAGTTTCTTTGTAAATTGATTTCTGCAAATAGAACAGAAGAGAAAGCACCATCAGAAAAGTTGCCAGAATACCATAAGAAACTCAATTAGACCATTCCAAAAACAAAACTATCACGTCAAGCATTTGACGACGAGCCATTAAAAGTGAGAATAGAAAGCTGTACAAGAGAAGCGACTTCTGCAGTAAAGCTAGAGACTTCTGATTCTTAAACGCCTAAGCTGATTGCAGAATTTGACTCAATAAAAATTGGAGAGTATAAACATGGAGGGACTTACAAAGCTGGTTTTGAGCTTCTCCACAAATTCACTGTTCTTGAATCCACTCAATATCTCTAATGAGCTTCGTTTCTCAAACTCTTTAAATCTAGTCTTCAAAGACCTAATCGGTTCCCAATCTCCGAAATTAGCTTCTCCTTCACTCTCACTCTCCCCATGAAACTCCGTAAACCTAACTCTATCACGATTCCGCCGTCTCCTCATCCTACCCATCTCTAAAACTCCCTGACGCTCATCCAGATCCATCTCAGACACAATCGCGTTCTTAATCGCCGATAAATCGATCCCTAGCTTCGCCCTCGCCGGTCCCCACCTCTCCATAACCTTACGGCTAATCTCCGGCGCCGAATAAACCCTACGAAACTCCGATATCTTAGGCTGAAGCTTCTTCATGATTCCAATTTCGTTAGAGAAAGACGACGCCGATGGAGACCCAACGGAGAACGCAGACCTCGCCGAATTATTGAGGAAATTCTCGATCTCACGGTCGAAAGTCGATGCTAGATTCTTAACAGAGTTAGCTCGATCACGCATCAACTGCAAATCCGCATCAGCTGAGTCCCATACCTCCCTCCATCCTTTCGACAAGAACGATAACGCGTTCGTCGAGGACAACGTCATCGACA